AAAATACAAATTCCATTTAATACCCTTACGTGTTCTTTGTAACCTTTACAAGCCATCGTCCTAAACTGTTCTCAACAACACAATACACGAATAAAACTATTGATAAATTTTGTTACTGACGTCAATGACATCAACCGTGAAACAAGTTCATTCATTATATCAACATTAGAGTGGCAAACAGGAAAACATACACAAAAGTGGTTTCCAATTTTGGTGCGAGTAAAATAAAAGTGTCCAAAAACGGGACCATATTAATTTCGAATATATGACGTGAAAGTTTGATTGTTTTTTGTTTTTATCAATTTTTTTGTTTAAGATATCTACGTTAAGTACCAGTAAACTTTACAACAATTGTGAAACAAGCTTTGAGCTTAAATCGATCACTCTTGTTGGCCCGGATTGAAGCGCGCGAGAGGTCTTACATTGGCAGAAAACAGGAGTACCCGGGAAAACCCACGTGGTAGGGCTGTTAAGTACTACGTACCGTAAACTAAAATATAAAACATGGTCAATATTTTCTTTTTATATCTGGGATTAGAATACTACAGTATGAAATAGCGTTTGGGTTGTTTGTAATCATCACCTTCTATTTTTTCCACAGCATCATACTTACCTATTTGACAAGCTCTTACGGTGCAATATTATTTCAAATATATCACAAGACTCATTTCAACTGAGTATTAAGGTTTTCTAGTTAGCTGGACTGTTTTTTTTTTTTTTTTTTTTTGGAACTTGAATGATCATGTCTTTATTTTAAATGATCCTACAAAACAAACAAATTTTTTTGTTTTTTTTTAGATTTTTTTCTACTTTATATATACATATAAATATATATATTTATATATTCTGTCGAGAAATGTTTTAACACAAACGTGATTACACCACTAACATTGCCATGTTTTACGAAAAGTAATGGGGAAAGATTGATTTCTGCTCTGAAAAGACGGAAAAGAGCAAATGCTATCAAGAATTCCGGATTCAAGCATATGTTTGTTATCAAAATCAGCAAGGAAAATACCGACGTGCCAATAGAATGTTAATTAAAACGCAAAGTTGATGAAAAACAGGACAAAATAACAACAAAGGAAAGCTTAACATTGAGACGACGTAGACTCGGCTACACCCGCCTTGGCAATCCTGGTCAATCAAAGAAAGGTATTTCTAGTTCACGAACGACATCAAAGCAAAAATAAGAGAAACATAATTAATTCTCAGGTTCTCGCACTAGACGTTTGAAGGTCAATTTGAAAACGACATTTCGGTTTTCAAAGAGTGAATTTTGTGAATGTTTCAATAAATACATTTCTTTTTTTTTTTTTTTTCCACCCTCGCTGTTTTTGTTTTTGTTTTTTGTTGTTGTTTTTTTTTCATATTATTGCCATGAATTTATGATAAGAATAATTTCGTTTATACCAAAAGTTTTTTTACCGGAATGTTTTGTGTACAGGCATCTATCTCTCGCCGCCGGACACACGTGGTATAGACAAATATGATTAGTCATTACAGTCACGTAGACACATCAACTCAAAAGAAAACACTAGAACAGAGTAACACTATTCCTGTGCGTGTGTATTGCAAATAGAGCGCACGGATGATGGACGAAATCCACCTTTACAATATAAACAGCTCTTTACATAAGCCAACATTTTGATAACTGTTGCTGGTCTCCAAAACCAACTATAAATAAGTGTTTCTATTTATACTAGTAATTTGCCATTCCACCGAAAAACAAAACTGCTACTTTAACAAATTATGACAAGAATTGTTTAGACGGGCAAATCCATCAGGAGTAACAGGTTTGCTAATTGAACAATTGTTCTTATAAGCACGTTGTCTGTGGCCGATTACTCTTGGACTAGTGTTGATAGCACCAGACCTCTTGTGAATGATAAGAGTGCTTACTTCTACTTAAGACGTGTCCGTGCTGTTGTCTGAGATATTGTTAATATAACACGCAGTCAAATGTAAACACATTTCTGACACAAGTTCATCAATCTGCCGTGTATTTAAAGTACATGTATGTAGAGGTATTATAAAGAACAGAAGTTCCTTGCCTATAGCCAGTTGAATTTTCATAGTTTGGGCTTATCATGGGTATAACATCAGTATATTCACGTATTCTATGTGTAATGTATTAATGACATAACGCCCATACCCGCCCCACCCAGCCCCAGCCATAAGTACAAAGGAAACAAGACGTGTTTATGAAACACTATGCCCCCGGTTGCAATACAATTCTGAAGTGGGATATTAAAACTGTACTGTGTAAGGCATCTGCTAAGTTCATACACATTTGCGGAACAGTTTTATCTTCATTGTATCAATAATTATTATTAATTCCTAATGTTAAGGTGACATAGTGAAAACTTTCGGTACCATTAGAGAGCACTTAACACCAGGAACACACATAACAAATATGAAATCTCTTTTACTGTGCAATAGTTATGGGTAAGGTTAAGAGGTGCAATTGTTATGAGCCAGATTAAAGTTAACAACAGACAAATAGACAGCACAAAAACAATCTTCCCCCAATGGCTCGATGCGAGGACATCAAAAGCCGACAAAAAATATGTTTAACAAAACACCAAAACTATATACCATTGTTGTAATTCTGTTACCAAATAAATTCGCCGAATTCATATTTTCGTGTAACAATTAATTGTAATATCATTATATGAACAATTGCATTACGTCATCAATTCAAAATGGTGCAACAAAATGGCTGACTCTTGTTATATTATCCTCTGTAGTCTCAATTCAAAACCTGTCAAAATATAACTTTTCTGAACTAATTGATAAAAAATATTGACAACTTTTTTTTCGTTTCTAAAGATTATACGAAATATATCTAGACGCTTTAATTCTGTTTCGGCAAGGCTAGCAAATATTTAAAAATCAAACACACTTCTAGGATCCGTTTTAAAAAAATCATATAAAATCAAATTCATTACAGAAACCATTATAAAAACAAATTATTGTTATGTAGTATCTATGTGAAACAAGGAAGATTTTAATCCTCAATTAGAGTGTATATTTTTGTTATCAACTTTGATCTCTTTCTATTCCCTATTTCCCATAATTAAACTATCCCGTGTGATTTGCAGACAGGAATGTTTAACGCTGTAATAGGTAACGGTACCGATTGGACCAGCGTGTCATCTACTATGTAACAAAGGCGATCCTCAACGTAAGTAAACACTTGACAATCATTAACAAAATGGAATATCTATATCTGTATTTTTCTTTTGTTCAAATGACCTTAACTTGTCGAATTTAAACGACATTAACATTGTTACGCTAGTTATAAGTGTTGTGTACTCGGCCTGATTTGATCGTGTTTGAGAAAATCAATTTTAAGCTATAGAATATTTTGACATTATTAAATATGATCGTTCGCTTAAAACTATTAATTTTCAAGATTAAATTGCTTGGTTTAAATTTTTTCAACTTTTCGTTACCTGTGTTCGAATTAGATATAAGAATATTAAAATTATACACGTTATAACAATTTGTTTTTGATAACAAACTTGCTAAATATCGATTCATCACCTGTGTTACAGGTTGATTAAGCTGTTACAGTCAAGACTGGTAGCTTATCCGCAAGCATTGTCTGGAATTAGCTACTTTTAAGCTGTGTTGATCTGGTTTGCTATTTAGAGCTGTGTAAATATTTTAATATCAATAAAGCCTGCTTTGAACTTCTCCAAATGTTGAATTCACACACCAATAAAAACGAAATTAATCGATTTTTTTTTCTAAATATTGTCCAAACGTCAGGGCCTTCCAAAAGTCAAGCACTTGGTTTCTGGAAGGCACCAGCTTTGTAATTAGATAGGCAGGTACGGATTGAAACCTATCCAAGTCAGTCAGTACACTCTCAGCATAATACAGAGGAAATCTAGCGATGATTTGTAATTATAACATGGTCATATAATTGGCTAAATTGTTATTTTTTAACGTTTTTCAGACCACATTCGTCAAATGTATTGAAAACAAAGTGACTTTGAAATTGTTTTCGTTAACGTGGGCCTACTTCATCGACAAGGTCCGAACACTGGGCCAGTAAAACATAATGGTCCTATATATAGCTTCTGTTTAAGATTGAGTTAAGTGCGTTCGTATTTTAAGTTCCCGGCTTGTTTCTCATCTGGCCGGACGGACGAACGGTTGTAATGTCGGATACATCGAGACAGACACATACGATTATCAACAGACGGTACTTATGCACAAATCTACAGATACACGCCCTGTTTATTTACATTGTTGTCGTAGAACATACCTGGATATATCGGGGAGAGAAATCAGTGGTGATGTGTAACTTTTTATCTATAAATAAACATATTATAGTGCTTGATTGACATTTTCAATTTAATTTCTGCCAACCGTTCCGTGCGATGGCCAAGTAGATGTCAGACTGCGGGGCACTACCTCAAACTTTGATTGAAACATGACCTAAGTCTGGGGATAGGAAGAGAATAGCTTATGTTCCGTTATTCTGCATTCTACAAACCCTTATCACGTTTTCTATCCTCTTACAGTGGACACATGTCTCATGTTAGTTTGTTGATAAGTGCTAGAACGTGTAATTTGTCGATTTCATAAACCTCAAATAAAATATCAGTTGTCTAGGACCAGGGCCGTTACAAGACCAATAGCCGTCGTATAATGTAAAAAAAACATACGCGCGTGCTGGTGTGTGTTGTGTTATTATCACTGCAGCAGAATACTTGCTTGAACGCCAGCATCGCTCTCAAAAACCGCAATCCGTTTCATTGTTTATAAGTTTCTCGTCCTCGTTTTACATCGAAGCAATCAACTTTAAAGAAAACTTGCAAACGAGGAAGTAATTTTTAAGATCCGTGTCTGATCTTATTTTCAGGGAACTTATTTTTTCTGCTTTAAGATTTATTATAGTGGCTGTCTATGGCATTCCATAAAGGCTCAAATATCAGTTTTCAGATTGATTAATTAGTAGACCTTGCGATGTTGTAATTGCGATTATGAGTCAGCGACGTAAACAGAATCAGGTGAAAGCAATGTTTAGTATAATTATTGATGGTAATAATTAGTTGTTGTATACTATATAGGTACCCTCTCAACGTTATTAAAGTATAATTCTAATGTGTTTTAGCCATGCTTGTATAATATAAGTGATACAAATTTCTACTGATGAAATGTTCCATATATTTCAGCGTGATAGTTTTCATTGTTTGCTAACGATAGTGGTACTGGTATCTATAGGTGACAGATAAAACTTCTGCAACGTCCCGCAGCTAAACCTACGTTTATGTCGTAACAACTATCCACTGCTAACCTTACTGTTAAATTGTATGTGGTGTAGACGTCGCCCTTCTAAATCTACAGTTATGTGGTATAGACGTCGCCCTGCTAACTCTACAATTATGTGATGTATACGTCCCTGCTAACTCTACAGTTATGTAGAATAGACGTCGCCCTGCTAACTCTACAGTTATGTGGTATAGACGTCGCCCTGCTAACTCTACAATTATGTGATGTAGACGTCCCTGGTAACTCTACAGTTATGTAGAATAGACGTCGCCCTGCTAACTCTACAGTTATGTTGTGTAGACGTCGCCCTGCTTACTCTACAGTTATGTTGTGTAGACGTCGCCCTGCTAACTCTACAGTTATGTGGTGTAGACGTCCCCCTGATAACTCTACAGTTATGTGGAATAGACATCGCCCTGCTAACTCTACAGTTATGTTGTGTAGACGTCCCCCTGCTAACTCTACAGTTATGTTGTGTAGACATCGCCCTGCTAACTCTACAGTTATGTGGTGTAGACGTCGCTCTGCTTACTCTACAGTTATGTTGTGTAGACGTCGCCCTGCTAACTCTACAGTTATGTGGAATAGACATCGCCCTGCTAACTCTACAGTTATGTTGTGTAGACGTCGCCCTGCTAACTCTACAGTTATGTGGTGTAGACGTCGCCCTGCTAACTCTACAGTTATGTGGTGTAGACGTCGCCCTGCTAACTCTACAGTTATGTTGTATAGACGTCGCCCTGCTAATTCTACAGTTATGTTGTGTAGACGTCCCCCTGCTAACTCTACAGTTATGTTGTGTAGACGTCCCCTGCTAACTCTACAATTATGTGATGTAGACGTCCCTGGTAACTCTACAGTTATGTGGAATAGACGTCGCCCTGCTAACTCTACAGTTATGTTGTGTAGACGTCGCCCTGCTTACTCTACAGTTATGTGGTGTAGACGTCGCCCTGCTAACTCTACAGTTATGTGGTGTAGACGTCGCTCTGCTAACTCTACAGTTATGTGGTGTAGACGTCGCCCTGCTTACTCTACAGTTATGTTGTGTAGACGTCGCCCTGCTAACTCTACAGTTATGTGATGTAGACGTCGCCCTGCTAACTCTACAGTTATGTGGTGTAGACGTCGCCCTGCTAACTCTACAGTTATGTGGTGTAGACGTCGCCCTGGTAACTCTACAGTTATGTGGTATAGACGTCGCCCTGCTAATTCTACAGTTATGTGGTGTAGACGTCCCCCTGATAACTCTACAGTTATGTGGAATAGACATCGCCCTGCTAACTCTACAGTTATGTTGTGTAGACGTCGCCCTGCTAACTTTACAGTTATGTTGTGTAGACGTCCCCCTGCTAACTCTACAGTTATGTGGTGTAGACGTCGCTCTGCTTACTCTACAGTTATGTTGTGTAGACGTCGCCCTGCTAACTCTACAGTTATGTGATGTAGACGTCGTCCTGCTAATTCTACAGTTATGTGGTGTAGACGTCGCCCTGCTAACTCTACAGTTATGTGGTGTAGACGTCGCCCTGCTAACTCTACAGTTATGTGGTATAGACGTCGCCCTGCTAATTCTACAGTTATGTGGTGTAGACGTCGCCCTGCTAACTCTACAGTTATGTGGTGTAGACGTCCCCCTGATAACTCTACAGTTATGTGGAATAGACATCGCCCTGCTAACTCTACAGTTATGTTGTGTAGACGTCCCCCTGCTAACTCTACAGTTATGTTGTGTAGACATCGCCCTGCTAACTCTACAGTTATGTGGTGAAGACGTCGTTCCGCTAACTCTACAGTTATGTATCATAGACCTCCTACGTGCTAGTCCCACTGTATCAAGATCACAGATTGCTAGGCTGAGCTATCCAACTGTATGCCTGTAGTGAGTTGTCCAGCTGCAATATCGTAAGTGTTCACACGGCTCTAGAAGTCAGACTTTGTTTAGAGGAGATCCAAAAGATGCACAAATAATTACTGTTACACGGCATATTTCGATAAATATTTATAGTCAGTTCGAAATACTGGACACATAACCTACTTTCGATAACGATGAAGAAAGAGTTTCGACATTTGGTTAAAAGTATTGTTATCTGATATAAAAATATCAAAAATCTCCAACGTACATCGACCAATAAGATACCATATGTGTTATATATGTGAATGTGCACATGTGAATAGCACATTTAGAAATACAAACAGTAGAGTCAAACAATAAAGAGAACAGTATCATGCAGATGTTTCGTCCTTCTAGGACTCGTCAGTGATCTTAAGGGTGTTAAGTTTGAAACCTAGGAGGCGGCAAAGAGTCTGACCGCAAGAAATATCAAAATCTAGATGGGAGATACACTAGCATTTAAATAAAGCCAAAAAGTTAGTTTCATATACCTGATAATTTTAAGATATTGCATATGACAATCAACATACATCTATTTCATCCACTTTTCTATGTATAAATCAATGCAAGCCAATATCTTTTTTTACTCACTCAGCCTTAGATTAGTGTCGTTATTGTGTTAGTCTATACATCTAAGCTATACTTGAATCAAACGTTTTATGTTTGAAATAGGTTCACTGAGAGCAGTTTCATAACAACTTGCCGAACGTTACAAATACACTAAGTGTCCTTTTCTGTAAATTCATACCAAGATAATTATTTCCATTGTGTAGACAATCGTTGTTTCGGGCTCAGTGATCGACAAAGGACAGAAACTGACTAAAGAAGTCCGATTGTTCACTGTTCGCTAAATGTTTGGACAGCAAACATGGCGATATCTGTCAATTACAACTACAAACACTTACTTTTGAAATACCATAAGTTCTCATTTCTTATCTTTGTAAGAATAAGTGTTAAGAATGGACTTAATGCAGACATTTTTCCTCTATATATTTGCCTAGTACAACATTTTTACAAGCCGACGGTACTCGTGTGAAATGGTGTGTTATTAAGGATTTTGTAGCCTACAGTTCATGTACACAAATATTTGATACAAAATATTTTTAACTTTGAGCACCAATCCTCGGGACTTTATAGACTAAGGTATATACACAGAGAATAGCCTTACATTTACGTCAGCCAACTCAAGATTAATGAAAGTAAGAAATATATCATTTCTGTTGTTACTGTTGATTTTTATAGACACTATAGGAAAAGTGTCTAGTCCCGCCAGGAACATACAGTGGAGATCCAGCTAAAAGATCGACTTGCGTGATGTTGGATCGTTTTGCTGAAACAATTTTGTCTGACTAGCAAACATTCATAGAAACTGGATCTCTCGGACCAGTTGATGCCACCAAATACATAAGTAATACTATCCGATTGAATTTAAGTAGCATTACACATCTTCACTGTTGGTAACGTAGGATAAACCAGCTATCTGTAACATTATATACAAATTTTGCCGGTACCGCAGCCGACTTCCTCTTAAACACCAAAACTGCTGGCGTCAATAGCTATTCTGAGGAAACGTTTGCTTCATCAATTGTCAATACTTTATACGATTTGTGACGTGTCTTCCATCTGTTGATTAAGAAATCTTTCGACCTAGAAGAGGATAAATAGGATAATTTGGAGCTAAATAAAGATATTTTCAGGTAAGTGCAATGCTTATAAAATCAAATGTAATATATATAGTATAACGAACACTGTATTAAGTATTTACCAAATCTGATCTTGTTGAAGAACACAGCGGGTATGGTAAGGTTAAAATCACAAACTATGTAGGTATTTCTTGTATGTTCATGAATAACTAAGTGATGGACAGAAAAAATGAATTTGTTGTTAGTAACAAGGATTTTGTAGTTTTGTTTAGATACCCTACACGTAATCATGTTGAAATAGCATATATACACGACATTAATAGCTGTCAAATAATCCACTTTGGTCTGTTATAGCATGTGCGACAATGATGTAAATAGTATATTTCAATAATCTCCTGATTATAACAATGTTACTTACTAAAAATATCACACACACACTTTGTATTTGGGAAACATTAAAGCTCTATATCCGACAAATGTATTTTCTCCCAAAACAATATATCAGTGACCTATGTGATATGTTTATTGATAGGATTTTCCTGTGTACAGCTATATAAAAATCGCTTCATATCGATATTTTTTGTAAAGATTTGAAGACATTCCGTTATCTTCCCCGTATACAAATAAGAACCTTTTTTTATATATATATTTCATAATATGGCACCATCCGAGGTGTTCTAAGGTTAATACATACTATTAGAATAGTGATGACACCAGGTAAGAACTTCAATTGTATGCGAAGGTCACCGCGGCTTTATAAACACAATGGTTGTAGGTTTGGTTCGGATGCAACCCATTACAGCAAACTGTTCCAGTTATAACAGCAAACACAATAACATTATGTAAATTTCGAAGGGCATGTGTTCTGTAACTCCATCTTTTAATTTATGCGAATCAAGACATGGTTCAGATTACACACATGTACTTGACGTTTTTTTTAATTCATCTGAAAAAAAGATATATTACATATTGATATAAAATGTACGACCATTACCGAATTATGGAGCTTGTGCACCTCCCCATCGAGCTTCTTACATTTCATTCGATCATTCCGGATTTTCCTAAGCCGCCTCCATAGGTTGACAATTGAGGCCCTTCGCATCACTAACGAGTCCTTGAAGGACGAAACAGCTGTATGATGCAGTTTAATTCATCATTTGACTTTAATGTACCTTATTCAAACTTATATCAAACGTTTGTATTCGATGATTCGGAAGATGCTTACTCTACAAGAACTCCTTGTCTCAATCTCCTTGTTTTTTATGAGTCGCTTGGTATTTTTTATCTTTTAGTATCTCTATTGTAATAGTTTCAACGAATTTATGTTTGACTAACGATTCTGTAATTTATTATTTACATTACCATGTAGAGTGTCAAAATAATAGGTTATTGTCTAAATGCATTTAAATGGCCAATTTAAGATCGGCAGTCGACCTTAATTATTATAGATTCCATACACAGGTATTATTAGTCAATTGAAATACAATGTAAATGTGTTTGATTAAAAATAAACATCTATAAATCCCGCATTTACATATGAAAGCCGAATGCTTGCTACCATGACCTACCATGACATTCATAAAAATGACGTTACAAGCATAATCATGACCCTCAAATCAAAACGTCCCTCCCTTTAAAGATGGACATCATTCACCATATAAAATGCAGGCATTTTTTTCTGTTCGTTCCGTTGTTGTATACCTTATACTTATCTGAAATTGTGACATTACTCATTTGGATTGATCAAGATTGGCATGCCGGATGTCGTCGGAGAAGCGAGAGATGCTTACTCTTTGGAAACATGTGGTCTTATTCTCCCTTTACTTTTCAATAGTCTTCCTGTAATTTGAATTATGATTAGGTTGACATGTTGGTATTTTCGTGTAATTTGGTTTTCATCTGTCTTTTCCTGTATTCACGAACGGTTTGGACGATCGGGCGTTTACCAAGACCGTTCAGTGACAGCGATTTCATAAAACTACGGTAGATTATCATCTGCATATTGTTCACATTTATATATTCGTTTGTAAATTCAGTATTTTCTATAATATTGGTAATATAGCGATATCTTTCACTGACTGCGAGTATTGATATGTTTGCTTGATTGAAAAACAAAAACAAAAGTGAAAATACCAACATATCTACAGAATAATAATCCAACCTCAAATCCAATAAAACTAGGGGAAAATATGAAAAATAATCAGGTGTTCCGGAGGAGTACGCGTCTTCTTCCTCATCAAAGATACCAGCCATATGAATCTTGATCAATCCTATATATAGATATTGTAAATTCAGGATGTGTATTCGGTATATGCTAGGGTGGTTCATATCTCCTATTTCTACCGTATGGAGGAAGTTTTCTACACTCCACTGAGAGTACATCGTTCTATTTTTGGCATGAACTAAACACTATCTGCATGCAGATCTACACTATTCGTGTATTTATAACCTGTCACATTTCTCACGCTGTTTCCCTATTCTTTACCTGGCTATAGAGTAAGTTATATTACAAATGGGTCACCAAACGCAATGGAATCTCAAATTTTAGATCTGTACTCTGCCCTAACGAAAACAATATACTGTCCAACATCGCTGTGCACAGAAGTACACCGTAGGCTGGAAAAACCATCCGAGTCTAGACAAAGTCTATATATATAGGATTACAAAAGATCTCAAAGCAAATCCGTTGTGAATCCCAGTCATTACAGGGCTGTAAATTACATCTGGATCATTGTTCGAGACACGATTTCTGACTAAGGTAAAGTATGCGATTTCCAACCCTATATTTTATTAAGTGCAATGTTTGTTGTTACTAGGCTAACACACAATAACACGATACTGTGCAGGACCAAATAATCCTTCATCCTGTGTGATATTAACTGATTATATAATTCATTGACTTAATCTATTCCAGTTATAAAGAATTACCTGACTTTATAATATATTGATAGGTCCCTGACGTATGTATACTGTTTGTGTTCAGCTATAGTTATTTAAGGTCAATGTCCAAGGGAACATAGGTGAGATTAAAAACTCCTTCCGGTTAGGATGTAAGAGGTCATATAAGACTATTTACTTTTTAACACACGGGGAAATTTAAAACAAGATTTAGTATAATATGAAACATCGTGACATGCAGTATTTGTCACTACCCGTGTACTGTTGTATATGATGCAAGTGTTGACGGCATTATACTGAATAGCAGAAGACAGACAAGTCCTGAAAAGACTGATTGGAAATCGTATTTCTTTTGAAACCCGCACAAGGTAGGATGAATGCTTTCATTTAAGTACTGGGGGGGGGTCTTTTTTTTAACTTTAGCTCAATAGGTACA